TACAAAAGTCCGGCATGATTTACCGAGATTCAAATTCTCGCGATGGATCGAGCGATAACAAAGCGTTTGTTCGCGCATGAAAGATTCATCGAATTTTACAGATTGTTGCTCCTTAGTAAGATATGCTCACCAGAACTTTTGCAAATGTTTATAAATTTAACTTTTTTATTTTATTGTTGTCTTGTTAAAATATGAACGTTGAGTACATTTTTTTGTATTATACAAATTATATAATTAATCACAATAAGGATAAAGGAATAAAAAAGAGCACACGTTTAGAATCTAGATTCAGTCACCAAATTTAGATATGGCCATGTCATTTTCGATTTGTTTACACTAAGATATTTTTAGATTAAATTATACTCTTATGTCTAATCTTAGACATAATTACTGATAAATTCACCTTAAATAGCAAAAAATCGATCATAAATCATGAACAAATCGAATAAATAAATGAGTCGTTAAGGTCTAATTTTTATGATGTTTGACCCCGTCAGAGATATATCAAGGTAATGGATATAGATCAAAGGGATATCAAAGTATCCGTAAACGACAATTTATATTTGCGTTCCCGTCGTCCACGTGGAAACGATAATGCGACGACGTGGTCGGGGGAAAAGGGGAACCGTGAAACCACGGAAAGCGAGAACGTGAGTTTCGACGGCCATGACGATCTCGTACCGACGCATCATTGGCGGACAGACTACGAAATTAATACGAAGCAAACGGCCATCTTGTCCCTGTACCGAATCTACGTACGTATACGAAAAGGGGTTCTAATGTGCCGCGGCGTATGGATATCGGAGAGCCGCGTTACTCGAGCTACCGCGTCCGTGCATATATTCGCACGTGTACGCGGATACATATATACACGTGCGTGTACACATGTAAGGATGAGAAAGGCCGTGGACGTATGCGTGAAGATTGATTATACCGCAGGAGAAAATGTGATCAATAGCTCAACAAACAAAGGCCTCCAACGCCTATATAATGCAAATAGCAAAAATCGCGTAGGATTAAGGGGGTTGCGAAGGGAAGAGGACGTGTGGGATCGTGGAAAAGGGGGTGGGAGACGATAGGGTGGCGCGACGGTCAAGAAACAATACGGACGCGTGCGGCTACTTCAAGTTTGCTTGACACCACCACCGCGTACAGGCAACCCTTGCGCACACCCTCCGCGTACCCTTCGACTTCGCACCCTCCAGTTCTTCCCTACGAGCCAGCTCGGAGCCCACCGTCCTCGCTTTAATTTGCATACGACCGATCATGTCTTCCGACTCGCCTTCACATCCTCGTCGCCATACCTCACGACCATCGATCAAGCCCCGATTGTTTTTGCTTCAACTCACCCCCACTTTACCACCCAGATTGAACGCCTTCGTGCTGGGGGTTGCTCGTTGGTCACTACCCCCCACACGTACGTCTCTTATGCGCGCACATCGACTTTGTGTGGCTCCGCAACAGTCGAGAATCTCGCTAACGAGCGGTTCTCCTTCTACCGATGACATTGTTCTAACGTAGAAAACCTGCCAACATCCGCTACCCTTTGCTGCCATCCCTAACGATAATTCTTCATTCTTACTTCTTTCATGATCTCGACCCTTCTTCAACTCTTCCTATAAAATAAACTAATAATTATTAAATTATTTTTTCAAAATATGCTGTATGCAATTAATTCCTGTGATTTTTTATTCATAGAGTATTGCTTTTGAATATGCACAACGTTATATGTAACGTTATTATTCTTATAATTAAAATTGATTATTCAATTAATTTGTCTTATATGAAAACACGTATTAATATAATTTCATCGAACTTAATGACAAGATGCGGGAATATCTGTCTCTCTCTCTCTCTCTCTCTCTCTCTCTCTCCCTCTCTCAATAAAAATAAAATTATTTGCGAAGTAAATTGGAAATGAAATTTACTATATCATAAAGTTGAAATTCAATAGACCAAACGATATATGATTGTAACAATATAGTCTACGGTTTTTATAAACTTCCCGGAAATATTAAATTTAATCGAAGCCGATCAAATATTAAATTTGATCTTTACGTGGTCATCTTCAAATAGCATATGGCTATTAATATTACTTATATTTGAGCGAATCAACTGTGACTTAAGGAAAATCTTCCGTCATTACCATCATGACGACATATTAAATTACATTTCAGCTTATAAAATGTCAATGTGTGATATTACAAAATGATTAAGTACTAAATTATATTTGTGTAGACATCATAAAATTAATATAGATATATGTATCCACATTCCAAATATGAATGAAAAGATTTATTAAATGGTTTGCTTTATTTAAGATTTATGTAAAACTAGATAAATATCATCTATACAAATATATATACATGTGTGTGTTATATTAATGTATTATAAATATTATGAACATATATTGTGATTACTTAGATTATAATGTATAAAACGCTTTCAATGTCGCTATAACTAAACCATTTTAAAAAATCACACATACACATACACGAATATGTATGTTCAATAATATAGATAGCATTATGTCATAATTGTTTCTGTTTCATATAAAAAAAGTGAAAGAAGAAAGTTTAAAGTAGATTCTGCATTCTGGAGCATTAGTCGCTCTATAGTTCGCTAATTGAAGAAACATATAATCACATTTTACACTGTGTGCGTTGATTTCTCGTTTTATTCGCATCGTTAAACAGTAGTCACGAAAGAGACGAAGAGTAGTATCGATAGACCGCCCTTCCATAACTCCAAACGCAAGGGGGTGACTGTCCATCACGCGAAAAAAAAACACACACGATATCGCTGGGTCGCCGCCGTATTTATCGTAAGTTTGTCGATCGACGTGGTGTTAATTCCACCTGTCCTTCGTTTCAGGTTTCCCTCATGGCGATAACCTACCCCATCGCCGCTAATGGCGGACATTATTGCGAGCGATCGCGGCAACTTCGGAAACTTATCCCTATATAAGCCACCTTCCGCCAGTAGCACAACCACCCCTTTCTACCTGATGGTATATCGAACGTCAATGCGTACTTATCTACACCCGCGTCTGTTCTTACCTGTATACTATAATGTATATGTGTATGCGTGTCTATGTCTGCGACATTGCTACAACACGCACTCGTATTCGCTTACACATATACGCATATCTATACAAGTAGAAACGAAGCTTCTGGACATAGGCGTGTATCGATTATGGGTGAAACGGAGGACAATCGACAGGTAGCCGCCTCCGATAAATAAACTAACGAGTAAAAATGTGCAAGTTTACCACGTGCGTCAAGGCTGTTCGATTTTACGCTAATGCGATGAGTCATGGCATTACAAGGCGCCAAAGGAATGTAGTTAATTTCATTAAATTATAAAGACTCAATCGATATGTATGGTTATTATTGTCACTGAATACAGAAAAGAATTTCTACGTTCGTTTTAAATAAATTTAACTATGGGAACAGTCGAAGTCCGCAAGATGCAAAACACGTGTATCAAATATCTGTGGCAGAGGTGCGAATTTTGCAAAATTGAAGTCGTTGCTTCTCGATTAACCCGCAGAGCACGGAAAGAGAGATGATGCCTCGGCGAGAAAAAACAATTGATACGATCTCGTTCACGTAGCTCGTTGCACCGTGTACACCAACGTACTCGGCTTTAAAATCGTTCCATCCCACCCCTCGTTGATCAGTTTTCTCGCTTCCTCTTCCTGCGCCTGCAATCTGCCCTTTCCACTATTCCGTATCCTCGCGTATACGCATCCACGTGAACCCTCGCGAAACACGTGGATAGGTTTCGAGTGCTCGCAATTCATCGCGATTGATTGCGGCACAGTGGCAACACAACGATTGCCGTACGCTCTATTCGTCGCGATAATTTTTTGCCGCCGTTGCTGCCACTCGATTCTTTCAACATCCCGGATTCGTCCTCGTTATAGAGACGGAAAAACAAGACGGTCGTACTGTAATTATTATGTGCGGATCGATGATGCATTAATGAGGGACGGATATACTTCGTATACGTCGCTGCAGGCGACACCGTGGGTATAAATGTCATTGATTCTTTTATCCTGTAGACTCTCTCTCTCTCTCTCTCTCTCTCTCTCTATACTTAATTTTTTCCGCTAATTAGTATCTTCAATTCTTACTATAACTATATCAAAAATTATCCTTGAATCGCTAATTAAATTTTTTTCAAAACTACTACACTAACATACACTAATTTGTTAATTTTAAATTATGTGTTTTATTATTAGAAATTATAAAAACGTAGAAATTAGAATTGCTAACAATAAGTAAAATCATTTTTCACAAAATCATATATTCTGCTAACAATAAGATAATTACGATCCTATTTATTGTCCAATTGAACTTCAAGTGTCGAAGCGACGAGACTAGTTGATGACATATGTTATAAATTATTACAGACACGATAAGTGGATGACAATTCAACGATTCGATCGATTCGATTGAAACTTTATACGTAATTTAATCCACGGTAATTACATTTAGACTCGCCAAGATTTAAAGTTATCCTCTCTTAAGCGTTTCGCTATTGATTTCCGTATATATTCCCGATAAAATTAATAAAGAGCTTCTGGTAAGCTCCTTACTAGGTTCGGTCCCAGATAAACGATGCTCGAGGCGAATCGCGAAGGAGGGAGAGGAACTCGTAAATGTGATTCTATATTTGCGTCGATGATAATGTAGTTACGTTTCATCTCCATTTAATCGCTTCGAGTCGATTTCCTGATGAGCGATGCGAAAGTACTCGGCGATATTTCAAGAAGTAGCAATTCCTGTGATTTATATCGCGCAATGTCTTCCTTAATGCGAGGAATTTTATCGTCAGTATCATTTAATAAACATAACGGGGGCGAGACATCAGGGATATTAACATTTAAGATATTCCAACTAAAATTTATACGCATTACTATACTTTATTGATTTGCAATTTACACGAATATAATTTTATCAAACACTTAACGAGGTCGATGTTGCTATTTCTAGATCAACCAGTTGGTTGAGGAGGTGTCCAGGCTACAGCAGAGTCTGCAACGCCTTCAGGAGACAAGTGCGCAAGCAACGGCGCGGCTTGAAGAGGAACTCGAAGTGCGCAGGCAGCACATCAACAGATTGGAGAGCAAATTGGAACGGCAGAGGGACTACGATGATCTGAAGCGCGAAATCAGTGTATTGAGATCAGTCGACCTTTCGCAGATACCAACTGGCGAACCTGGAAAGAGCTTGGAACATCTTCTTATGGAACGTTTCAAGGCGCTCCAACAAGCCGAAAACTTGAAACCCTCCAATACACCCGACGCACTCGGTAAGTGGACTAATGATATATTTTACTTAAAATCGTAACATATCAAAGATATACGAAGCACTTAATTTTAATTGTAAGATATTGAAGAAACTTGAAAGAAAAGGATAAAACGCGGAATTGCAAAATCAAGTTAGATTTATAGCACATTATAATATAATTTATATTAAAAATAATTGTTTCGAAAAAATTGGAACATTAAAAAATATCTCCAAATATACGAGGTGTTTGATAAGTAACTACAAAACTCTCGTACAGAGGTAGAGCGGACTAAATTGAGTCGAAAAGTCCTTTGCTATTTTGCAATTTTCACAATAGTTAACAAGATATCAATTACTAAAAATCACCGAATATTGGTTGTCAATAATTTTTTACTCAACTACTGTCAACTTTACAAAAAAACAGCAAGTGACAAAAATTGTTCATTTTCTTCTTATAGAGTTCTCATAGAATTTTTTATCAGCTTTTTAGTACTGCATTTTTTAGTATTAACAACTATTTTTACCAACATGAGAAAATGCGATACTAAAAAATTCCGAAAAAATTCTCACAATTCTATGAGAAAAAAATAAACAATTTTTGTCATTTGCTGTTTCTTTTTTCTTGTAAAGTTCATAGTACTTGAGTAAAAAATTATTGAAAACCAATATTCGGCGATTTTTAGTAATTAATATCTTGTTAACTATTTTACGAAAATTGTAAAATAGTAGAAGATTTTTCTCGATTCAGTTTAGTCCGCTCTACCCCTATGCGAGAGTTTTATCATTACTTATCAAACACCCTGTACATGGATCATAACGTCAATTAATCGAGAGCATACATGGAGCAAATAAATAAAAATAAATTTATGTAATATTTATGCAAAAAAGTACATGATCACATAAGGATCTGTTCTAAAATTGAAAGAAGTAATAGTTAAAAAAAAGTAACGAGGTGTTGGTAGGTCGGTCACACTTCGGCGATCTCGCTTCTAATTCTTGCGCAACCGCTCTGATCTTCGGTCCCCGACTCTCTCTCTTCGAGGCTCCGTCGACGGGCTTTATCATCAAGTAACAATGAAAAGGACACGAGTCACGCAACGCGGACGCAAGAACGCTTCTATAGAATAAACGAGGGATGACTGAAGGAGCTTATCGGAAAAGAAAACAACAAAAATAACCCTGCTTGCCATTGTGTTCGCACTTTTCTCTGACTCTCTATCTCTCTCTGTCTTTCTCTGTCTTTCATACTATCTTCCTTTTTACTTCTCTTTATCGCTCTCTTTCTCTCTGTCCAGTCTATCTTTGTTTTATCATTCCTATCGTCTCTACTTCTCTCTCATACACATATCTCATCTCTCCAGACTTGGCTGCTTAGACTGCACTTTTTTCGAGCCACTCTCTCGCTAATATTAACGTACATTCGTGAAAGGTACTAACGCAACCGAACACACGTTAGCCCTTTAACTTTCTCTCATATATAGGCCTATCCTGTCTTTTACCGAATGTTCCAAATGTTCCTCTCTTGTCCACGTAAAGGGTCCTCTAAACCGCTCTCCCCTCCTATTTCAATCCGTACACTGGG